CCTGCTTCAGCTTCCCCATCCTCTGGGATTATAGGCATGCACTACTGCAGCAGGCCTTTTCCTCATATTTTTAATGGATACTTCATGGGAACAATGTTCTAACAGTAGTTAGACCAGGCACAGTGGCACACATCTAGAATTCCAAAAACTCAAGCAACTGAGGCAGGAGAATCAAAAATTTGAAGCTAACCTGAGTAACTTAGTAATTTTAATTTCTTTTTAAAAAATGGCTGGAGATGTATCTCAGTGGTAAAGTGGCTCTGCATTTGATCCCCTGTACTGCCAAAAAAAAAAAAAAACAGTAGAATTGATCCTTTTTAAAAAATTTATTTATTTGTAGCTCAACACAATATTTTTATTTTATTTTTATGTGGTGCTGAGGATCGAACCCAGCACCCTGCATGTGCTAGGTGAGTGCTCTACCACTGAGCCACAACCCCATCCCCTAGAATTGACCTTTTTGATGGTACTAGGAAGCAAACCCAAGGCTTCAATGCATGCTAGGCAAGCACATTACCACTGAGCTACACCCCCCAGCCACTGAAATATTTTTTTAAAATATTTATTTTTTAGTTATAGGTGGACACAATATCTTTATTTCATTTTTATGTGGCGCTGAGGTTTGAACCTAGTGCCTCACGTGTGCTCTACCACTGAGCCACAACCTCAGCCCCTGAAATGTTTTTAATATACCTTCCATTAGTTATTTAATATACTATATTGCTTCTTAAATGCTTGTGCCTGAAGTAAAGCAGATTCAATGAGAGATAGATGGAGGCTTATTGGATGTGAAAGAGGACTTCAAATATATTAGTGTTAAAGGCTCCAATCTTGACTCAAAACATGGTTTTAGGTTTGGGGGTGTAGCTTACTGGTAGTGTGAGCTTAGACTGTTCAAGGCCCTGGGTTCAGTCCCCAGCACCAATGAGAAAATGGTTTTTCATTCATGTAACACATGACCCAGAAATTTCACTCCTACTTTTTCTACCCAACAATTAAAATCATATGTACAAGGATGTGGGGAAAAATGTACACTCATACATTGCTGGTGGGACTGCAAATTCATGTAACCACTTTGGAAAGCAGTGTGGAGATTCCTCAGAAAACTTGGAATGGAAACAACATTTTACCCAGCTATCCCACTCCTTGGTTTATACCCAAAGGACTTAAAATCAGCATACTATAGTAACATAGCTACACCAATGTTTATAACAGCTGAAACAATAGCTAAACTGGAACCAACCTAGATGCCCATCAGTAGATGAATGGATAAAGAAACTGGTGTATATACACAATGGAATATTACTCAGCATTAAAAAAGAATAAAATTGTGGCATTTGCAGGTAAATGGATGGAATTGGAGGATATTGTGCTAAATGAAGTAAGCCAATCCCAATGAATTAAAGGCTGAATGTTTTCTCTCACTAGTGGATGCTGATCTATAATGGGGATGGAAGGGAAGAATGGAGGATCTTTGGATTGGGCAAAGGGGAGGGTGGGGAGAGGTTATGAGGGTAGGAAAGATGGTGGAATGAGGTAGATATCATTACCCTAAGTACACATATGATTGCATGAATGGTGCGTCTCTATACACCATGTACAACCAGATAATTGAAATGTTGCACTCCATTTGTGTATGATGAATTGAAATGCATTCTGTCATGTGCAACTAAATATAATAAAAAATAAATAAAATCATATATACACAAAAAACATTGTACACACATATTAGTGATAATAAAAAGTGAAAACCCAAATGTCCATCTGATGAATACAGAAATAAGATAGTCATACAATGGAATATTGACAATAAAAAGAAATTAAGTACTGATATGTGATATGAAATGGAATTTGCAGACATTATGCTAGATGAAGAGAGTTATAAAAAACTACATGTTGTATGATTGTATATAATATCCAGAAAAGACAAATCTATAAAAGAAAGACTAGTGGTTGTCTAGGAATGGCAGTGGACTATTAACAGGGATTAACTGCATGAAGCATTCCTAGAGTCATAGAAATGTTCTAAAATTGCATTTTGGTGATGTTTGCACAACTAAATTTACTAAAAATTTTTAAATTATAGACTTGAAATAGGTGAATTTTATGGTAGCTAAAACTATCTCTCAGTAAAACTGAAGGAGTATTTTGTTTTTATGGTGCAGGGTATCAAACCCAGGGCCTTGCACATACTGAGCACATGCCTTACCAATGAGCTACACCCCAGCCTCAAAACTGTTTTTTTTTTTTAAACATCAGCCTCAGCAACTTAGATCTCTTCTCAAAATAAAAAATAAAAATACTGAGGATGTAACTTAGTGGTAGAATGCACCTGGATTCAATCCCTAGTACCAAGAAAACAAACACATGGTTTTGCTCTTCCTTACTAGTACACTTAGTATTAGTGCACTACACCATACCCAATTACTATCCAGAATTAGTCACACATTTTTTTTAAATAACACATAGGATATATTGCTGAGATAGTGAAAGGGGCAAAGGATATTAAGTGATGTGTCTTTACACTTAGTCCCTAATGTAGTAGTGCTTGTAACATACAAGACCTAAATTATTTACTAACTGTAGTTTGAGAAAAAATATTGCCTGCACAGAACTAACTGACCTATTATTAGTGAGAATCTGGAAGAGAAGCTAAATCCTGAGGATGGATAAGTGTGGGGCAAGAATGAGAGAGTCAATATTAGAACACAGTTCCCTACCCTGATTATCTGGTAAAGAAAAACAAGTACAGTTACTTGTTGGTGCACTGTGCAATATGACAGTTACAGTTATTTCATCCTTTGCAAGTTGAAGAGAATTTAGAAAGCACTCAAAGAAGAAGGGAGAGGAATTGCTTTGATTTTTTTGAAAGCAACAGACCTGGTAAAATCAGAAAAGTTTATTATCATTTGTTTTGAATAATTTCAGCAAGTTGATCTTCATACAAATTCCTTTTAAATATAAAAACCAAGTTGTCAGTGTATACTCAAGACCATCAAATCAGTCCAGTATAAAAAGGACTCCTACTCAGATTTGAGGATTACACCTCCATTTATTAGAAGAAAACGGTTTGCCCATACAAAACCCAGGCCTACGTTTAGTAACTTGCTAGGCAAAAGTGGAGTAGGAGGCACTGTTAAATTAAAAGTCACTTAAGCGCCTTGCTTGCCTGTAATCCCAGCAGCTTGGGAGGCTGAGACGGGAGGATCTCGAGTTTAAAGCCAGCTTCAACAAAAGGGAGGCACTAAGCAACTCAGTGAGACCCTGTCTCCAAATAAAATAAAAAGTAGGGTTGGGGATGTGGCTCAGTGGTTGAGTGCCCCTGAGTTCAATCCCTGGTACCAAAATAAATAAATAAAAGTCACTTAAAAAGATGACAGTAAGGCAGGGGTTGTGGCTCAGTGGTAGAGCATTTGCCTAGCACATGTGAGGCACTGGATCCTCAGCACCACATAAAAATAAATAAATAAAGGTATTGTATCCAACTACAACTAAAAAAAAATTTAGGAAAAAAAAAGATGACAGTAACTTGGGCAAAGGGGTGCACGCCCATAATCCCAGCGGTTTGGGAGGCTGAGGCAGGAGGATCCCAAGTTCAAAGCCAGCCTCAGCAAATTAGTGAGGCACTAAGCAACTCAGGGAGACCCTGTTTCTAAATAAAATATTAAAAAGGGCTGGGATGTGGCTCAGTGATAAAGTATCTCTGGGTTCAATCCCCAGTATCGAAAAAAAAAAAAAAAGACAGTAGCTAAACAGAAAGTTCCCCAAGAAGGGCTGGGGGTGTAGCTATGTGGTAGAACACTTGCCTAATGTGTGAAACCATAGCTCAATCCCCAGCACCATAAAAATTAAATCATTAATTCTCATAGACAGCCACACAGGTGGCAGCCATGTTTCTAGCCTGTATAAGCCTTTATGTTCTGTAAGCATCGCAGGGAACATCAGTCAAAATGCTTTACCCACAGCAGGGGTAAGTACAGATCTTTTTTTTTTTTTTTTTTTTTTTTAGTTTTCAGCAGACACAACATCTTTGTTTGTATGTGGTGCTGAGGATCGAACCCAGGCCGCATGTATGCCAGGCGAGCGCGCTACTGCTTGAGCCACATCCCCAGCCCAAGAACAGATCTTATGACTTCATTTCTCAATTCTCAAAAACCCAGTGCTATTTGGCATGGTAGAATGGGGTATGCACAGTGAAATTATCAACCATTATTTGTCATATGAAGAAGTATTCCTTCCATACCAAATGAAGGTCAAAAAGACAAGGAGAAAAGGAGAAGCTGGCATACTGGGAGATGGCAAGCTGAGCAACTCTAGCAAAGCCGGGCCCAGTGGTGCACGCCTGTAATTCCAGCGGCTCAGGAGGCCGAGACAGAAGGATCATGGGTTCAAAGCCAGCCTCAGCAATGGTGAGGTGCTTAGCAACTCCATGAGACCCTGTCTCTAGATAAAATACAAAACAGGGCTGGGGATGTTGCTCAGTGGTCAAGTGCCCCTGAGTTTAATACCTGGTACCAAAAAAAAAAAAAAAAAAAAAAAACTGGAACAAGCTACCCTGTAATCTCAGGTACTTGGAAAGCTAAGGCAGGAAGATTAGAAGTTCAAGGCCAGCTTCAGCAACTTTGTGAGAACCTGTTTCAAATTTTTTAAAAAAGGGTTGGGGATATAGCTCAGTGGTAAAATGCTTGCCTTGTATACACCAGGCCCTGGGTTCCATTACAAGCACCAGACAAACAAACAAATTGGGCCAGGCATGATAGTGCACACCAATAATCCAATAATTTGGGAGTCTGACAGCTGAGGCAGGAGCATTGCAAGTTTGAGGCCAGCCTCAGCAACTAAGCAAGGCTCTAAGCAATTTACTGAGACCCTGTCTTAAAATAAAAATGGCTGGGAATGTGGCTCAATGGTAAATCATGCCTCTTAAAATCCCTAGTACCAAAAAAAAAAAAAAAAAAAAAAAAACAGAACTCCTGACAATGATTGGCAGGACAGTTTAATTGTTTTGTTTTTGTTTTATTTAGGGAATTGACCTTGAGTGGGTTTATTTTACAGGAAGTGACTAAGAGGGAAAGGGGCCATACAGAAGACTCAGATACAGCTTTTCGAGGGATTGAATAACTTCCACATCACCAAGTCGACAGTGCTAGTGAAATCTAATAGCAGATCTCATTGTGGGACCCTATCTGCAGTGCATGCACTATCATCATTAAATGCCAAACCCATCTCCTAAAGCAGAGGAACCAATAAGTCCATGGCTGATATAAACATTTGTCTCAAAGGCATAATGAGGAAAACATCAAAAAGAACAGGACCACATTATGCTTTTTGCATTTTTTTACAGCCTCATTGAGAATTCCCAGTTTCCACTAACCCAACTTCTCTGAAACTATTATCTGGTATTATATGGAACCTCCAAAAATGTTCAGTGATGAAATAAGTGTGGGAAACAATGCATACATAATAAGTTATAAAGTTCTACTGTAAAGAAACCTGATGGGTTTTATATAAATTGCTGATTCCTGAGCTTATTGGACAATAGATAGAATCCTTTAAAAATGAACATCTATTACTAGCTCAGATTTTTGGAAAATGCTGCTTAACCATTTTTGTGAAAATGTCTTATCTCAAGAATAAGAGGAATGTGTCAACATTGGGAACATGCATAACACAAATAAAATGGCTTTCAAAAACTCAGTATATTAGGACACCTATAATCCTAGCTATTTAGGAGGCTGAGGCAGGAGAATCACAAGTTTGAGGCCAGCCTGGGCAACTTAGTGAGACCCTGTCTCAAAAAGTCAAAAGGAGTGGGGATGTAGTTAAGTGGTAAAGAACCCTGAGGTTTCACCAATATGGGAAAATTAGCATGTCAGAACTGGGGGTACAGCTCAATGGGGCTTATGTGGCATGCATGAGACCCTAGGTTCAATCCCCAGGATCACAAAAAATATTAGAATGTCTAAAAGTTTAAGGCAATGATTTAAAAATCATTGTCTGAGGCACTTGCTCAATGGTAGATACAGCAAAGAAAGTCAAAGTTAGATTTCAAAGCAGACAAGCAAATGCTTCCCAAGGACAGCATGAAGATTGCTGTGCTTCATCACGGCTTGGCCAGTAGAAAAAAGAACAGCATTCAGTGGCATCTCCTTTTACTACTTGTGACAGGGGATACAGATAGACACACACAAACTTCCTCCACAAGGTTCATACCAAACTTAAAAGTAGCCGTGTAGGAAATAGTCTGTCTTCTAGATTCCTCCAAAAGCCAAATAACCAGGAGTCTAGGGCTTATAGGGGAAGAGAGAAATGGCTCATGCTGGCACTTGCAACTACTATCAAAGGAAGCTTCCTTTACATTTTTAGGTGCAGTCTCCAAAGTAGCACCCAAAAGCTACAAGAGAACACATTTCTTAACATTCTTCTTTGAGGCAGGGTACAGCACTGCCCGGATAGCTTCCAAAAACACCTCATGTACCCCATCCTGCATCAGGGCTGAACATTCCAGATACTTCACAGCCCCTACCTGCTTAGCCAGCGAATTGCCTTGTTGAGGAGTTGTGGGCACTAGGCTCTGCTCCTTCAGCTTCTTCACTGTCTCATGGTCACTTCGCAGGTCCCTCTTAGTGCCTACCAGCAGAACAGGTACATTGGGGCAATGATGGGAGACTTCTGGGTGCCACTTATGCCTCACATTGGCATAAGAGGATGGGTTGCCAATGGAAAAACAAATGACAAAAATATTGGTCTGGGGGTAGGAGAGTGTCCGCAATCGATCATATTCTTCTTGGCCAGCAGTATCCCACAGATTCAGGCTGACGATTTGGCCATCCACAGATGTTTGGGCACTATAGTTGTCAAAGACAGTGGGGATATACTCCTCAGGAAATGCATTTGTAGTGTAACTGATGAGGAGGCAGGTCTTACCCACAGCCCCATCTCCTACAACCACACATTTGATGGTCTGCATTCTTCCCTTGTAATCCTATGTACAAGAGAAAAAACATTCAGAGATATTTGGTTAATTTAGGGAGCTTTATAAACATTTCTGAGAAGGAAGAGAAAGGAAAGCAACCCCCCCCCCACACACACACACATACTCCCTGTGCCCCTAACACCATAGAAGAGTAATCTGGGAAAGCTTGTATAGGACAAGAGTTTTTACACTGGACTGTTTTTACACTTTACAGTCCACTGGAGCTTGTGGACTGTGAGAGGACAGGCTTTAGTTGGTTCTAGAAGCCACCTCTGGGATTGTGAAAATATTATATGTATGTGTATAAATAAATTTTTCTTCAAAGAAGATCCAAAGTTGTCAGATTCTCAAAAGTAGTTGTAAATCCAGACAGATTAGAAACTATTCATATACATAGGTATGAATGTTAAGTTGTTGTCATAAGGTTTGGATATACTATATCAAAGGTGCTAACATACTGCAGGTACTCAGGAAATGGTAACTATAATTTTAAAAAACATAGGCATAGAGAGGTTTCCAAGATTGAAAAATGGTACTCACCATATAATAGTTATTTGTTACACATTTGTCATAGGGTCTGGATATACTTTATCAAAGGTGCTAACATTGCAGGTGTTCAGTAAATGGGGATTGATTAATTTTAAAAAAATAAGTGTAGCCAGTCTCAGTGGCTCATGCCTTTCTTTATTCCAACAACTCAGGAGGCTAAGGCCGGAGGCCTTGTAAGTTGGATGCTTGCCTGGGCACCTTGTCTCAAAATTTTAAAAAATAATAATAAAAAGAGCTGAGGATGTATTTCAGTGCCAAGGCACCCCCCCAGGTTCAATCCCCAGTACCAAAAAATGAGTCAAGGCTCCGAAGTCAGACTTCCTGGAGTCAAAAAGCTTCCTAAGCTTCATGAACTTGGGCAAGTTCTTAACCTGTGTTAAATAAAAGAAGATATGTGTAGTAGTTATTAATCACTGTCATATACACAGTCCTCATTAAATGTTAGAAGCTATGATGATGTATTTTGTTCATTTGTTTCATTTTTTGTTGTTGATGTTGTTGTTTTATTTTTGTGTGTGTGGTGTTAGAAATCCATTTCAGGGCTTCTCAAACGCCAGACTGTTGCTCTACCACTGAACAACACCCTCAGCCTTCGACTTCTTAATTCTACTAATACTATACTACTGAGGGAAGGCAAAAATTCTGTAATATGGTTTCAATGCTAGAAAAACCAGAGGTCTCATACCATCTTCCCACCTTATCTGAACAAAACAACACCACCATGCTATTGTCCATTTCTTCATGAATCAAGTATTTCAAAGTAAATGATATGACATAGATAATCTCCAGAAGTATATATAAACATGTGCTCTCATGTTTACACCCCCATATTAATATCCTATCACTGTCCTGCCCTCAATTTAAGCTGCATTCTACTTTCTTTTTTTTAAAAAAAATTCCTTGTTCTTTTTAGTTATACATGACAATAGAATATATTTTGATATATATACATGGAGTACAACTTCCCATTTTTGTGGTTGTACATGATGTGGAGTACATTCTACTTTAGATTCTTAGTTATTGCAATTTTGCTTTGTTCGGTACTGGGGATTGAACCCAGGGGTGCTTAACTAATCCACATCCCCAGCCCTTTTTATTTTGAGACAGGGTCTTGCTAAATTACTTAGGACCTCACTAAGTTGCTAAGACTAGCTCTGAACTTGGAATCCTTCTGCCTCAGCTTCCTAACCTGTTGGGATTACAGGTGTATACCACCACACTCAGCAGACTATATCTCTCTCATTTTCTTTCTTTCTTTCTTTCTTTTTTTTTTTTTTTGAACCAGAGATTGAACCAAGGGGCACTTAACCACTGAGCCACATCACCAGGCCTTTTTACATTTCATTTACAGACAGGGACTTGATGAGTTGCTTAGGGCCTCGCTAAATTGCTGAGACTAGTATATATATAACACAATACCTTTATTTTGTTTATTTATTTTTGTGTGGTGCTGAAGATCAAACCCAGTACCTCACACATGCGAGGCTAGTACTCTACCACTAAGCCACAACCCCAGCCCCTGAGGGCTGGCTTTTAACTCACAATCCTCCTACCTCAGCCTCCCAATCTATTTGGATTATAGGTGTGTACCACCATGCCCAGCCAGACTCAATCTTTTTTATTTATTTTTAAAATATTTTTGTAGTTGTAGATGGACACAATACCATTATTTTATTTATTTATTTTTATGTGGTACTGAGGATTGAACCCAGTGCCTCATACTTGCAAGGCAGGCACTCTGCCACTGAGCCACAATCCCAGCCCCAGACTCAATCTTTATAACATTAATTTCTTCAAGCGTCAGAACATGGAGGAAGGGGATTGTCATATGTATTTGGTTACAGGGATAAAAACAAGAATTTCTCACCTTGGTAATTTAGAGAAATAACACTCCCATATTGCTGTCATATTGGGCAAACAAAAGAAGAAAAAAAAAATACCTCATCATGGGTCAGTTTAAAGAGAAGTTGGCCTTCAGAGCATGTTTCACTTAAGCCCACTAGGGGTAGCTCTCCGCTCACATAATTCTAACCAGGGAGACCGTCCATAGATCCCATACCTAAAAAAAGTCCAGAGCATAATTCAGCTCTGATGGGCAACTATGCCCTAGGAATAGGCATAACAATTACACAAATTCTATGATAACAGGGCAAAGCCACCACCACACTCCCTGTGAATAGCCTTTTTTAACTTCCTGTCTGGATTCTCTTCCTATGAATTCCTACATCAGTTAGCCTATGCAACCCCACTTCCAGCCTCCTTAGATATCATCCAGTGTGTGAAACTCCTGCTCAAAGGGACTGCTTTCAGGACAACAGTACAATTGGGGGATGGTAGGTTGCAGAACCAGGGTAAAACTTAAGCACAAAGACTACTTTGTACCCTAAGTTCAGCCCCTAAAATAACTGGGAAAAGTTATCTGTACTTGTTTATCTTGGTTTATATCTACTAGTGCTCCTGGCATATATGGTCTACAGATAATGACTATACATGGCACACTAATGGCTGGGTGCCTAGGTAATAGTATGCAGTCAGAATATCACAGAAATAAGAAAATCCAAAGCAGTACCAACTTCTTATAAACACCTTCATTCATAGCAAAATCTCTATGAAAGGCAGGGTTTAGCAAAAGTCCCAGGTGGGGGGGGGGGCTTCATTGCACAATTCACTTATTTGTATTAAGCCCATGTATTCTGGACACTGTTTTCTCATGTATGTGTTTGAAATTTTTAATAGTTATAAAGTCTCAAAATAATGCTAAAAATATTTTAAAGAGTTGGGGGCTCTGAGAAAAAGCTAGGAATTATTTAAAGAAAGGAAAATATTTTAGGTTGCATCACCTATATGAGAAAAGGTTTATATCAACTCCAACATCTGGCACCATGCTGTCCTTGTCAAGGATCATGCACAATTTTCCTCAACTCATCACCACCACTATCCATATATTCTCCCAGATTCTACCCTAGGCACTGCACTGCTGGGAGGGATCTTTAAAGGGGTAAAAACAACAAAAACTTCCTTAACCTTAGAAACTTAGTTTGGTGGAAAGGATAGGCTATACATTAAAAGGCAAATAAGGCCAGATCTAGTGGTGCACTCCTGTGTCTTCCAGTCTTTTTTTTTTTTTTTTTTTTTTTTTGTAGATGGACACAATACCTTTATTTTATTTTTACAGGGCTGCTGAGGATTGAACCCAGTCCCTTACACGTGCTAGGCAAATGCTCTACCACTGAGCTACAGCCCCAGCTCTTCCAGTCTTATCAAGTATCCTCCACAAATAGTCTACCCAGCAGGCAATTTTCTCCTAAGCTATATTCACAACATTCAAGTCAGGCATGGTGGCAACCCACCTGCAATCCCAGCAGCTCTGGAGACTGAGGCAGGAGGACTGCAAGTTCAAAAGCCAGCCTCAGCTACTGAGACCCTATTTAATAATTTAAAAAGGAGGATGGGGCTGAGGTTCATTGGTACTGGGTTCAATCCCCAGTACAAAAAAAAATCAACAATATTCAGGATCAGCTCAGAATAGTACTGTTTATAACACATTCTCCAAGTTGCAATCTTCCCACGTCTGTGTCTACATCCATGTAAAATTACTCTGTAACTTTCTGAAACCAAATTCAGTATAAGTTTCCCATTTTTATTTACTACTTTCTTCAATTTAGTTATCTACAGAACAGAGGAAGCTTTTTACATTGAAGACTGCTTTGATTCAAGACTGGTCAAAGGAGACTTTCAAGGCGCTTGTGGATGATGGAAACCTAGTGAACACTTCCCAACCCTGGGGGAGGGGTGGGAAGAGGAGGAGGGTTTTTATCTGACGCTAGGAAACTTAACCTAAGGAGGGGCAAGTCTAGTGACCCAATCACAGAAACCACAAGCCCACTCAGCACTTTCCTCACATTCTCCACCAAGGGTAGTTTACTCCAGTTTCATAAGGACTACTAAGCCTGGGACAGAGAGGTGCCCCCCCACGCACACACACACACACACACAACATAGGATTCACAAATAGGAAGGGTTGGGTCAATCTCCCAGACCTAGCAGACCTACACATATCTCACTCTACCCCACCCCCAGCAAATTCCTTCCATTCAGGGAGTAGCTCAAATCCTAAGGCAACTGTCCCTGGGAAATAGGGAGACTCTAGCAGAAAGAAGGTAGTTGGCTGTGGGAGGGTCTGTCTGTCCATAAAGGTTACCCGGCAAAGTCTGATCTTTATCCAGCGCTGCCGATGGACTGCTGCTGGCCGGCTGGCGAAGCGTCCGGGAGTTCTTGAGTGGGGCTAGGAAAGACAAGCTGTGAGAGCTCAGCGACACATCCGGGTAGCGACTGAGTCCCACCCCATCGTTGGACGCAGTCTTCACTGCCCCGAGACCTCCTGGGAAGTGGAGTTCCAGGGCCCGCCTAGCTATCAGCGAGTCACAGGCTCTTAAACCACACTTTAAGGACTACTTAAGATCCCAACCCCAGTACCAAATAACTTCTTTACCTTAGCGAAATGAGACCACTCTCTCCTTCCAGTCTCCAGAGCTCCACGGTGCCTGGCTTGAATGTTTCTTATTGTGAATGTAGCTTGGGAGAAAATTGCCTGCTGGGTAGACTATTTGTGGAGGATGCTCTATTAGATAAGACTGGAAAACTCAGAGGTCTGGACCTCTGACTTTCCCAAGACCAATATTAATATAGACTTAAGGACCAGAGAAGGTTTTTGAAAAAATGAAGGGGATAAAATGAGGTAGTGAGGGAATTAGGGTTTCTTTTTGTTACCATATATTAGTTTGGATACGTTTTTTGTCCTTTTGGGGGGCCGGCGGAAAGGTACTGGGGATCAAACCTAGGAGTGCTTTACCATTGAGCTATACTCCCAGTCCTTTTATTTTTTTTAGAGAGAGAGAGAGAGAGAGAGAATTTTAATATTTATTGTTTAGGTTTTTTTCCAGCGGACACAGCATCGTTTGTATGTGGTGCTGAGGATCAAACCCAGGCCGCACGCATGCCAGGTGAGCTTGCTACCACTTGAACCACATCCCCAGCCCCCCAGTCCTTTTATTTTACTTTGGGGTGGGGTGCTAGAAATCAAACCCCAGGCTTCATGCATGCCAGGCAAGCACTCTATCACGGAGTCACACCCCCAATCCCATTTACATTTTTTGGAGTTTTATATAAATGAAATCATACAGTATGCATTCTTTTAAAACAACTTTATTGACATACAAATTCACATAACCACACAGTAAATCCATTTACAGTGCACAATTCAAGCTAGGGTGTAGCTCACATACCTATAGTCTCAGCTACTAGGGAACCTGAGACAGGGTGGCAACTTTTGAGGCCAGTCCTGGCAATTTAGTGCAACACTGTCTCAAAATTTAAAAAAGAAAAAGACTGGGAATGTAGCTCAGTGGTAGAGCACCCTCCCAGGTGCAATTCCTGTACCACCATATTATCCACCCCCCAAAAAAAAAATTAAGAAAAAGTACAATTCAATTTTTTTAAGATTTGTTTTTTTGTTGTAGTTGGACACAATATCTTTATTTTATTTATTTTTATGTGGTGCTGAGGATTGAAGCCAGGACCTCACATGTGCTAAGCAAGCGCTCTGCTGCTGAGCCACAACCCCAGCCTCTACTATGTTAGTATTACACTGTTTTAAAATTGTAAAATGTGTAGCAAAATTTGCCATTTTAGCATTTATTTCAGTCCTTGGGATGGAACCCAGGGAATCCAGCATGCTAGACAAGCCCTCTACCACCTAGCTACAACTTCAGCCTCCATGTAACCATTTATGTAGTTCAAAAGCATTGAATACATTCTTAAATTGTGCAACTATTACCACCATTTCTGAAATTTTCATCACCTGAAACAAATCCCTGTACATACTAAAAATAACTCTCCATATAGAGCTCAGTGGTGCCATCTGTAATTCCAACACTTTGAGAGGATGAGGCAGGAGGATCACCAGTTCAAAGCCAGCCTCAGCAACTTAGTGAGACTGTAAGCAACTCACTAAAACTCTGTCTCTACATAAAACATAAGGGCTGGTGATGTGGCTCAGTGGTTAAGCAACCCTGCATTCAAACCCTGGCTCCACAAAAAAATAAAACTCTCCATTACCTCGTTCCTTTCCCCTAGCCTTTGGTA